CAACCGGACATATAATATAAATTAATGAGCATTAAAATGCTTATCAATTCCAGTTATTATATGTATAATAGGTTTATGTAGTATTATAAACTAATTAATTAGAATGCTCATAGCTTTAAAATTCTTTATATTCTACATTGACGTTAGAATAAAATCATTTAATCCTAATTTGCTCGCTTGCTTGTCTTTGGTGAATAAGTGAATACATTTTTTTTGTGTATTAATTTTCAATTTTATTAAATATGTATAGAAAAAGAAGCTGTCATATTATATTTACTCTTAATAGTATAAAATTATTTTATTCGTTCCAGCAAAATAGTCATATCGTTATTCTGTCCATTTAAATTTGATGATAGAAGTAAATTGTATTTTTAACAATTCTATTTGCTGTGTTTTAATCTAAATTACGTCTAGCAGTTAATCCTGAAAAGCAATTTATCTTTGCACTGTAAAGGCAACAAGTCACTGAAACGTGATAGGACTAATACCGCTTATTTTAGGATAAGGCTGTTTGATTTTATAAAGAAAAGTTAATTTCCTTATAACAGCTTTGATTTTTCAATAATATTTTCCTTTACGTATATTTTTGTTATCTACTCCACTTGTTATCTACTCCACTCTCTAAATCATGAAAAATAAAATTGAAATATATGTATATTCTGTAACGGCGTTTGTCGATTTGTTACACGCGTGCCTTCTGAGCGCCTCACTAGTAAACCTAAGACCTTTTAAAAATGAGAGAAATCCTTGGAGATTCCTTGCAAAATGATATTCAAAATAAGGAGATATACAGAGGAGTTTCCGACATAAACCAGGTATTATTTGGTTAATAATTTTATGTTCTAGCACGAAGTAACATGGTAAGTATTTTGTAAGAAGAAATATTCATCACATAATTTGTTTATAGTAGGTGATACGCCGATCTAGTTTTCACTATAAATCTTGAAATAGGTTCGCCATAGAAAATTATTTAACCGAATTTATCATAAAGAGTGTTTTTCAAAGTAATTGTTTATTAATTAATTTTCAACATTCAATTGCAAACTTCACATTTAATGACTAAAAGGCCAAATTACTGGAGATTGAATGCATAATAATGAAATAGTTCGAATCACAAATCACTCCGTCCCATAATATATATACATTTGTCTCCAAATAAACATGGGATCGATTTCACTTTTATATATTGCTAACATTTAGCGGAAGGCATTATACAATGCTTTAATTTTGGCAGCAATCCCAATACAAAGTAGCGCGTCAGTGTCAATTTTTAATTGGAAATGTTAGATAACTTTCATAAAAGTGAAATAAGCGGATTTTTTTGTGATAACATTAAAAAATATTATGGTTAAAGTGAATACATCTTGACAAGGTTGCTTTAAATAATTTTGTTGAAACAAAATTTCGAACACTTGAAATAATTGTAAAACAATTTTCAAAGGTAATGATAAATTCTCAACAACACACGCTCCAAGGAGAGAAACGGAGGATTCGTTTCTAATCTTTGGAAAGTTGTCTCACTAAACAATGCCGATAGTTTGCATATTATATCTCTGTCATTCTTAAACAAGTAAGCTAAATGGAGTTAGTCTAAAGTCCAATGTGTTAAAAACCTTACGATAGGTATTTTTGATAACAAGTTCTGGATATTATTGTCAAATAGTTTACCAAGTATAACAAGGTAATTTTGAAGAACTTCAAATGATGCTTTCTCTTTTTAGTTTATCTTTATTGTAAAAATGTATATATAGAGTACATTGTCGAGGTAATATTATATAGATATGTATACAATCCATCGATTATGTGATTAGAGTAAATTTTTTAAGTTATTCCTCTTTTAGAGTAGTCTTAATAATTTTTTTTTATAGAACAATAATAGAAATCTTATAAGGGTTCATAAAACATTTCATATCCATATAAATTAAAAGTATTACTTGTCTTTGTAGCAAAATCATACTATCTTTGATAAGGTAAGAATGTGAATTTTTATATTTATTTAAATAAAATAGATACACAGTAGTTTTTTCAAAAGTTTACCTTGCTTTTATATGACGGCTTTTTAAATAAAAGATTAAATTACAAATGAGTCCGTTTTGAAGTACATAAAGCTTTCGCCAGTGCACCTTAATTCATTTACTTTAAAAATGCTTCTCTATTGTAACAAAACGACGCTGTTTAAGAAGAATGGAATATTGAATTACGTATGCTACGAGTTAGGACTTTTTTGTTAAATTAGTGAAAATGTTTTATAAAAGTTTCTTTCTGTTTCATGTATTTTTCGGTATTTAATTAGAGTGTAATTATACTCTTTACCATGCCTTTGTATTGAAAAGAAAATTCACTCAAGAGGTATTTATGAAATTTTCTCCCAGTATTTAATTTATACATTTATTATATAACTTGATTTTATTGTAATTATTATTTTAGACCTTAGTAATTACTACTGAATCCTTTATATTTAAGGAAGTAAGGTTTTGTTTATTAGGTATTCACTTTTCATTTAAATTTTGAAATCGTTGTTATCTTCAATATTTCACTCAATAATGATGATAATGACATAACATTTTTAGTATACAAATTGTAATAGTAAGAATCACAGGCTACCGTGTAGAGATTATACGTTCACGGCCACAAACTATGTTGAATAGAAAATCTCTTTATACAATTTTAAATTGCAAAACAATATGTGAATACCGAAGCAAGGACTTGTCTTTACATCTACATAACCTTTTATATGATAATATTGGACAATCACCAACATAAATCATATTCTTGTTGTTTAACAGCTGTAGGATTTTAACACATCTATTTGATTATGTCTCCACATACTTATATTATAACAAGTTTTAAACCAATACCCTCTATCAAAAGTAATGTGGACCATCATACATCATACTGGATGATTGGTAACTTACGGATGGCGAAGATTCTTTTTATACTAGTGCAAATAATTATTAATTTAAAAACACTGATCTCTTTTCAAATAAAGTTATTAACTTGTAAAATATTTTTTGCTATTATATGTAATGTATTAATGAAGTCTTAAATTTTGTAAAATAGACGAGTTATTTTTTTATTATTTAGTGTAGTATCATAATTTTATTTAATACCATTATACTAATATAGAATTAGTATCAATTTTAGCTTATTGTTGTAAGAAATGTATTGCACTTTTGCTATTTTTTATAAGCAGATTAGGATTCATATTAAAACGTATTTAAGTAATACATCGTTACTATAATCAATTTATTATTTTGTAGTTTAAACAAATTTTTTATGTTTATTTTAATTTTAGACAAACAAAACAAATGAAATGTAAAAAATATCACAGATATCAATAACAATTTTGAGCAGATGAGCTCAAAGACCGATTGTGTCGTTTTATTTATGCTTCAGCGAAAATAAATTTAAAAAGTCTGTACACATTTTTATGAATTATTTAAAAAAAGTTAAAAAGTAAAATAAAATATGGACTGCTTGTTTGACTACTCAATGAAATTATTCAGGAATCGCTCATGTGGTGACAAACTAAAAACTATAAAATATTTGTTGTGTAATATACAAGCTTGACGAAAATTTATAATTGAGGATTATTAATTTATAGACCTGCTAGTAAAAAACAAAATTTTGTATATAAAGCTTTGTTCTTTAAATGTGTCAAAGAAATTGAAGTTATAAGAACTATAAATTCGCTTATTAATTAAAATAAACAATAAAGCAAAATTGAGTTTCTACAAGCATTGAAATTTATCTGAAAATTATACAATACAAAATGTTTGTTATTAATGTTATAAATAAAAAAATATCAGACATTAATATTAAAAAATAAGATCAAAACTAAAGCAAAAATTGCCCAAATATACTTTATATGTACATAGTTCAATAAACGAGATGAAGCAGACTATTTATGAACTATCAAACTTTTCATATTATGAAAGAAGGCTTAGACTCCGCATCCTAAAATAACAAACTAAAAAGCACTACTTATAAACAGAATACTCAATGAAAAAGTGTTCTAAAAAGATGAATGATTGTGAATTATAACAAAAATTGTGCAAGAGACCCTATCGTGAAAGTTATTTATTTTAATGTTACTATATTAAGATTCGTATAAAATAGCCTCTTTAATCTATCTGCATTAAGAAGTTTACATACTTACATTTTTATTAAATTTTTGTTGGTATAAATTTGTTCAAACAAAGTTTATAGCTATTTATAAAAAAATAATATGATCACAAACTGCAGTTTATCTATCTTTAAAAGAATTAACTATTGTTTACAGAGACAGACTGGCTTTTAAAAAAGGAAATAGTTTTGGAAATATTTATTTTTTTCATTTATATGAATTACTTTTGTTATATAGCAATTTTTCATAATATCAATATTTTTCTTATGTATTTTGATGTAGTTATTCGATCGAAGTAAATTAATAATACAATTAATAGATCAATTAAGATATTTATTATGGCTGCAGGTGATTTTACTGTTAACTTGTTGTCAATATAACTCTTTTAAATGAAAAATTTCCTAAACCTAAAATTTTGTTGTATAGAACTACAATGTCAGCTTAGATCAATTTTGAATTAAAAAGTTACATAAATGGGATTTCAAATTTATTTAAAATCTTATGAGAAATTAAAAAACATAAGTGTGAAAGACTAATTTATTAAGACTTATATTACACATATGTACATAACTTAAAAATAATTATATTAAGTGACCCATTTTCTTAACCTACGGCATTTCGAAATCCATTTATAAGCCAAGTCGTTATTATAAGTTCTCTTTCAATTGTGTTTAAAAAATATGTTGTTTGTGTTTACAGGGGATATAATAATAGGGCTTTTTAATGAGCGCCTCGATGTCCACTTTCGACGTACACGGACAGGATCTATAGAGGAGACGATGAACTATTTTTTTTATTAGCATGTATATATTGAAAAGTTATTTGAAGAGCAGTTTAGCATCCCCTGATTATTATTATTACCATTATCGTCCCCTTACCGGGCGGAACGAACCCTGACGTTGTCACTGAAGAAAATAGTGCACGGCTTGGTAGCCATATTCGGAGTTAAAAAGTCCTGAAGCGAGCTAGCTCGGGATGGACGGTCGAAGGGGAATCCCATTGGTCGGCGATCGGGGTACTTTCTGTCTCGGATACCACAGTAGGAAGCTGCATCATTGCATTGACCCACTAAGTCTTGAACCACCTATAAATAATATGAGGAATAGTAATTACTCACAGTATAGCAAATCTTCGCTTCTATCAAAGACAATTCAGCAAAAAAATACTTTTGAAACTTCTATTTATAGATATTAACTAAATGTTCGTAGCTTAATTTTTTTTGTCACAGTTAACCAAAACATAAAAACTACTTACTCTGTCGTCATTCCAATTGGAGATCATACAAAATAGCACGATTGGATATCCTCTGGTGGTACCCTTGGGTATAAGCAGATGGTGGGGCCAACCGCAACCACAGAAGTCAAACTCGGCAGCTTCTGCAGAGCCCGGGTCGCCAGGCCGTGAAGATTGAGCGCGGAATGTGCGCTCATATGGAATAGTTACCGATGATAGAGTGCTCGCGCGACGGATGGTTGATGATCCAGCAGGGACTGGAGTCGAGGACAAAAAGAGACGTAAGGTCATGAGAACATAGAAAATAAAGGACATAATCAAATAGATGGGATAAAATCATTTGACATGACGGACGACGACGGTGACTGATAGACAAAAAATGCAAATAAATCAAGGACCTCTAAAAATGTGTTAATATAAGTTTCAAAATCTTCATAACGATTTTTATAATGAAATTCTGTTTAAAATCAATTGAAAAACTTTACGTATTTATTAGTAACATATAGGTAGATTATACATATATTTAATGAGAACTATATGAACATTTAATGAACATATTATGTCATCGTGCGTATACTGACTGGCATGTGTAAACTTGTCCATCTCCATCATGAGCCTCCTCTGTTCATCGAAGCTCAAAGGCCTTCCTTGCTCATCGTTGACGGGTGCCATAAACAGACGAACTGTTCCCATGACTCCAGCTCCACTCGTGTTGTTAACTTCAATACTGCAGCAGTTTAAGAATTTTAAAAGAGACAATAGAATATATGATGCATATTTTAATTGGCTCGTTAAGATACATTACATTAGAATTAATTCACTCCCACGTGAATTTAAACAAATAAAGTAGTTTCATCAAAATTATATTTCTTATCTTTCACATTTGTCATTAATAATACAAAAAACCTAAGACGTGAACGTATTAACTACTATTATTTAGCTTAAATATAAGTAAGTGAAATGACAAAAACAGTTCATATATTGAAACACATATGTACATATATGTAGTTGAAAATATAATATAAAAGTAATTAAACATCCAAAACTTTAACATGTGAAATATAATAGGAAATTGTTTCTAGAAACTACAGTTTTAAATACTACTGAAACTAAAGTTTTAAATTAGGTAACAGAAAACAATCAACTTACACGTAATTGAATTCATCATGTTGCAAATGCGTGAACTTTGCGAGTACTGAACCACGTGGCGTGAAATCTAGTCCTCTCCCAAGCTCTAATGTGCTCTGTTCCCATTGCGTCGATAGACGGTCCTGACCCGAACCGGATGAAATGCCGACAGATTGCACTCGAATACCAGGGAAGTCAAACTGGTGGTGAGAAATTACAATTTAAAACATTCTATAACATTAACTTTCCGATTACTGTAAAAATACCATAATATGTGTAAGGCAAAGTAGGATCACCAGTTATCAAGCACATCATATTTTTAAAAACAGTGAATCACATCGGTTTCATATCTTTTATATTTATATTAAATAGAATATATAACCTAAACATTATTTTTTTCTCTAAACTGTTCTATAAAAGTTCATACCTTGTCATTGGAGTACGGCGTTAGTTTGTTCTTGTAGAGTTGGAAGATGTCATCGATATAGGCATGCCAGCGATAGAAGACGGGGTCGCGCATAGCTGTTGCAGAGTCGCCCATCACACCAAATTGTTCCTGATTGTTATTAATTGAATAAACATTTTTAGGACTCCTTGATATTATTGTAAACAGAAAAATAGATATACAGTACACAGACTCAAAATAAGAGTACTGTTTTTATCATAATATTGTTTTCTAGCTCCTACAATAATTATTGATTCTTTTAAGCTGTTTTGTTGCTATTTGACGTTTTTGTAAGTTTAATTTTTAAATAATTATTTTAATTGACATGACAGTAATTATTCACATTAACTGCTTAATGATAAACCTGTGCGATTCTTACCAGATTTCTGTGGTCAGGATCGTGGGAGTAGCTGATGAAAACATGTCCCATGTTGTGAAGATCCCCATAGAACCCACGGTTTCGGCTAATGATAGAAGACTCCATCAGGTTTCCGAGGACATCCATACCTGTCTCTTCGTCTAATGGCACTTTACGGCCATTTGGCTGGAATTATTATTTAATTTAGTAAGTTGCTAATCGTACTAAAAACAACAATGATTTCATTGAAAATATTTTTTTACAGTAACCTCAAACAGACAATGGCCCAGCATGTCATCTCATAACTTACCAGGAGGACTGCCATTTCTTCAATAGCCTGTATGAACCTGTCCCTCCATGTCTCTAACTCTGACACATCCGCTCTAATTTGGTCCACGGGACGGTCTAGGTCACGGATGGTTGAACCAGCAAAGCTGAAACAAAGTGTTCAAAAAATATTATGATATATCTATGAAGCTTAAACATTACTGTAAGTTCTATAAGCTATAAAATAAGTTGTTCGTGCCTCACTTTTTATACTGTGACGTATTTTATTATAAAAGACTACAAGTAAAATTGCCTATTACTGTACATTACTTTTTGCATCTCGTCATTTACATTTTGTTTTAAAAATATATAACATTCACACAAAGGAAGTATAGTAAAAGTATTTCTCACCGTGGAGGCCACGCACGGCTGGCTACTTGCGAGTCCAGTTTGGGGAAATAACCTTCGGCGATGGGCTCCCGGAAGTTGTTGTATCGTTTTGGACGTGACAAGCCATTGCACATGCGCTCGACACTGTACCTGATAGAAAATGACGGTTTATAAACTAAAAAATAATAGAACGTAGTATTCTGAAGCGTATTTTATGTGGAAGTAGTTACATTTGTAAAAAATGTAAGTTATTGCAGCTTATTTTAAATAAACAGTTACCTGGCGATGATCTGCTGGTGCATGTAATAGAATAGTTCTCCCCTTCGGTCCTTATCGACGATCCTCCTGTCAGCTGCGTCGAAGGGGTACACAAGGTGCCAATGCCAATGGTGCAAATTCAGTCCAATATCTTCACGGAAGTAAGCTACACGTTGTTCTGGCTCAGCATCCGATGCTGTATAGTTTTGAGGTATCACAACTGGCAACTGAACGATTAGACAATGTCTTTAAAAACTGTTTCATAATATTTTTATACAATTCGATATAGTCATGTTACTTTCGAGTTTTAGCTTTATAAACACTAATTAGGGATATCAATACTATAACGTTCAAGAAACAAGTGTCATACGGCAATCGTAACACACGTCGAGATAGTTTTCTCGTTCCACCCAAGATTCGTACAAATTACGGTAAAACAATGATCACCTTTGAAGGTGCAAAACTGTATAATAAACTACCCATACATATAAAAAATGTAAACTCATTTAACGTATTTAAAAAAGAACTTGCTGGGTATATTTTAAATAATAAATAATTAAAAAAAGTACAACACGTTAAATTAGTACTTATTATAGAAAAATGTCTCCTAGTTAACTAACGCTTAAGCGTTATTTCATTTCATTTTTGTTACAAGTGCGATGTCGAACTGTATATTCATAAATGTTTAAATTGTTATACGTGTAAGTCTCATGTAAGTGATAATAATGTCGTAATGGGAATAAATATTTTAAACCATTATATCTTATACTAGAAATATCATAGAAAAGAGGTTACAGTTATAACAATTCTACACCTAAAATCTATCAACTTTTTAATTTATTTTCAATATTTTATTTTTGGACACGGAGTCTTTTTTTTCTTATTTGACTGCATTTAGTTATTTATAAATACATAAAAATGCCATTATAGACAGAAATATATTATATTAAAACATAAATGGACATTACAGACTTTTACATTACTGTTAATGTTTAACTATGCAATAACTGGTTACTATTATCCAAGGATACAAGGAGGTAAATTGTTAACGATAAATATATTAAACGAACTTGAAAAGAAAGGTGGCGGTTAGTCGTATTTAAAATCAGAAATAGAATAAAGCTATAATGGGACTTACCCTATTTCCAGGTAGTACGACGGTGCTGACTTCGCGAGCCTTTCGGAACACGCGAGGGTCCATGAACTTGTCAGGGAACGTTTCCGCGAAGGTTGGGATATTCAAACCCTTTGTGTCATCCCTAGTTCAAGGACATACAAACATGACTGAATAATCAATGTGTATCATATAGAAGTTAGTATGTGTGGAATATAATTTTAGTTATATAACTTCTTTTATGTTTTTTTTCCTTAAGCGGTTTTATATTTTAAGGAAGCTGCAGACAGGAGAGAAGTTTAATATTATTAGTTTAAATATTCCTTATTATTAATAATAATGACACAAGCGTTCATAGCTTTTCCTGTTATGACTAGATGGATTTATTTTAAATATTATACATTTATCCCCCTTTGATTTATAGTCATGTATAGATCTTAAACATATTTTATCATTATAATACGAACATTTTACGATACTTGTTATGTTTTAACATATAAAAAGATAACATAAAGTATGAAAAATGATTGATGTCAATATTTTTACTCATGTGACCTGAGTGGCATTTGTTTTGTTCACCCTTTTTACCTATATAATATAAAAGTTTTAAGCTAACCTGTGTAATATGGCGACTGAGAGACAATAGTTAAACATATAAGGATTGATCCTCATCTGACAGTAAGAACAAATGGATACTAGATCGTCCACATTACGCATATCTGAAAAATATTACAAACATACAGAATAAATATAAAAACAAGTAAGAAAAATGGTTTAAACTAATTTATTTATATTGTACTTAACGAACTTTTTTATAGTAATATTTTCACGCTTATTGAATCAAGATGGCAAAAGTCAATTTTAAAATAAATAATTAACAATTCGTCGACACGAATAATATGAAAATTCGTTTTGCCAATAAAGATAAAAAATCAGTGAAATAGTTACCTTTTATAAAAGAAAACTTACGAAGGTATATATGTTTTAGTCATGCAAAGTTAGAGTGGGATGCTTATTTTTCTATAAGTAGAAAGAACTTTTTCAAGGAAATATTCTTCCACTTCCTTATTTTATTCTGTTAATCTATGGTAACATAAGAAGATTTAGTGAAAAAATCGTGCTCATTTTACTTTCAATATATATTTTGCCAATTTGATTATTTTTCCTCCAAGAAGCTGTTAAATTCTAATATCGGTTAACTTACTCATAAAAATGTCAATGAGGTTTCCAGCCATCCTCCTGTGTTTAGGCACAAAGAGTGAAAACTGTTCATTGTAACCTAACTCCATGGGCAATGAAAGATTGGGAAGTGAAATGTTTTGTACAAGAATACGACGGTTTGCATCGGCACCAAAACGATTTCCTAAAGTTGAACTCGCTGACTTGTATTTATCAGGCTAAAACAAAAAAAAAAGTTTTCGTTTTGAAAGGATTCCATAAAAAAATAAAAGTTTTTATAGAGCTTTTAAATTAATTACATATTCTCTTTGAGAATTTTATAATAGTATAAAAATATTATAAAAGTCAATATCGAAAACTCAATAGTATTATAGCAATATATATATAAAAATAGTGTATATTAATGTGACTTAAAAATAGATTTTTGAAAATATGCATGCTTTTGAAATTTTAAGCATTAGTAGCTATACAATACAAAATCAGCTTACGTAGTAGTTGGCAGGTAGTTCAAAGGTTGCCTTCTCTTCGCCTTTCTGCATGAAACAGGGCTCAGTGGGCCGATCGAAGAATAGTAGGAGGTTTTTCTTGGCGTCCGACATGATTGTTCTGTAGGAATATCTTATTAGTTTCAATTACTTAAGAGATGTACCAACTTTAATCGCTCTCTCGCTTTAATAAACCTATCAATTTTAGTTTAGTTATTTATGTTTTTAATTTTATAAAACATTATTAAAAAGGTAGGACTTCATTTTTTTTGATTGCCCCTTTCTTGGCAAATGTAATATATATACATATATGTATGTTTCTGACAACAAAAAATATTCTTTTTTAATTTTATTCACACATAATTTCATGATCACAAAAATTGTTTGACCCAGAGGTGGATTTTAAAAACAGCATTTAAATTATAAATCCTATATCATATTCTACTCATAATATTGTTAGTAAAATATTACATAATCACATTTAATTAACAATCTCTTATATTTAAATCCATAATCATCTATACAAGAGAACAAATACATACATTTATTTACTACATGATATTATTTCGATGTCTAGTCATACGGTTTCTGACTGCAAATAAAATAAAACCGCGAATGTGGTTGTCCTGTTTAAAGCATTATGGGGACAGAAATATCAATAATAAATACATATATTTTATTACGGTTTCAATTATTAATATTTTGGTCCTCAAAATCATTTATTATAAGCATTGCAAAATGTATAACCAATATCCTTTTCCCATTAAACAGCTGACGTAGTTTAAAGGTTTTGTAATATTTTATCTCTAATACCAAACCAAACTTCTATTAAATGAGACGTATTGTAATTTATATTTTCAATGATATTATTATATACAAGGCGGATATATAAATCAAAGAGGGTTTCTTTTAAACAGAAGCATACACAAAATGAAAAACGTGAAATACGAGCTTTGATACAATTTTTAATAATGTTCTCCAAATGTATAGACACACAAAACTTAAAAAAGAAAAACAATACCTTGTATTGAAATTGGTATTAAAAATATATACAGTACGTATCTATTAATATATTTTTTAATAAATCTTACTGTTTTCCTTTTATCCTTTTTCTAGATTGGATAAAAAACAATAACGAAATTAAATTTGATTTCTGTTGCTATATTGTTATTATTAATATAAAAAAACCAATATTGTTATTTTTAATAGAAAATACCGTGTATAAATAAATTTATTTGTTTTAGGTTTATTCAGATTGAAAAGAATGTATTGTTATAAAACAAAGAAATAAAAAAGAATAGACTCTAAAAAAAATGAAATATAGTTTTGTTAACCTTTTATAGGAGTTTCGAGTTATCTAAAAATATATTTTAATCAATCAAAAGTGCCTTATCCCATGTCTTTTAATCATACGATCGAGTCTCACTTTTACTAAAATATATAAGTCAATTTATAAGTTAATAGAAATTTATGACGTTCACAATACGTATATATTACATACATACATACATACATACGTTCACAGTACATTTAAATAACTATAACTTGATTAAAATATAAAACATTATTATAAGCTCTCAAATTTATTCAAAGTAAATCTTGTAATTAGTAAATATAAATTAACAATATTTCGCATTCCTATTATATAATTTTCAGTATAGTTTCAAAGTGTTTTTTTTACACCATTTGCATTCTTAACTTTCAAATTTCAATATATTTGACAAACGCTAATATATATGTATATATTAATAAAGTATTGTCCTAATTAGGGAAGGCTAAAATGTCAGTGGATATTTTTTTAAATATTGTATAATAATAAATGGATGAAACATATATATATTTTCAGTTCTTCAATAAATGTAAAAACCGATTTCTAAACGATGAAATATAATAACGCTCTCATTGTATAGATCACAATAATAATAAAATCATGTTAAGCTTACATTTACGTTTTACATGAATCGTTTCACCACGGATTTTAAAGCCAACGATAAGAATTAAAATATAAATCGAAAGCTTAGAAGAATTAAATTCAATTTGTTCAACTTACCGCTGTACTGTTTCAATGAAGGAAAATGTTAATTTATAGAAGAACGAAACGGTGATAAGGCTTCCGGTTAGCCGCAAGTATTACGGCTGACTGTGACAAATAACGCCAGAACTACATATTTATAATAAAATTGAAATTTTACACACGACGTCGTGTGCATATTGAGGTTTTCATATCATGAAAATACCGCATAAACTGTGATAGCTAACTATAATTATAAAATTACTAAATAAAATTAATGTTTTGTTATCATTATAATTTTGGATACGGTTATGCATAAATATTATTGTAATAGTTTTAATTTTTTTAATAAATTGATAATGTTAGATTATTTTACCATTTTTTTAATTATTTTGAGTATTTTTTCTAAGATTATATAAAGTTTTTTTTTCTATTAATTGATAATAATTAAGAACATCAATTGCAATCACATAAGCACTGTTTCATGTAGAATTTTAAGGATTCTATAATAAATATTAGTGAGAATCCAAAACGAAGTAGGTAACATTAAATTCTTTTTCATTTTAGGAATGTTAAAAAATCACATTGGTACTTGCCAGGTTTCGAACTCACGCCCTCATGCATGAGACGCGGGCCTTTAACCTCCAGGCCACTACTATTTTAAAAAGTAAAAACATAAATAAAAATAATTATGTTATAGAACTATTTAAAATCTGGAGTCTGTTAATATAAAGGATTTTCTATGTTCTTTAATCTATAATTTTCTAAGTTATCATTGATGTCTCAAACCCTTATTTATTAGATTTGGATATGTAAATTTAATTATTACAGCAACTTAAGCAGAATGAGTAAGCTGTTGAGATGAATAAATATCTAAGAATATGGCATGGACACCAATGGAAGGGCAAAGGCATGGAAGCCTATGGCTTTTATTTAAATTTAATACCAAATAATCTACTCAAAATAAACTTTTGTAAAAAATATTACATTATTATATATGTCGAGAAACCTTGTCATATTCGATTTTTAAAAGTGTGACGTCAGCAACGCTTCTGTCACAATCACTGTTTTTAGCGGTCAGCTTATCCATCTTCCATTTTCATTTAATTATTAATACACTCACAAACACTGTCACTACTTTATTTCAGACTTTAACTCGCACTACTGTGTCTCTTCCGCCAACAAACAAATCACAAACGCAATGGCGTTAGTGATTTGTTTATGTCACATCTACCCTCTAAATTAAAATACTTATGAAACAACTACCTCTTATAAGGGGTTTAAATGTTGTTGTGCCGATATATATAAGATTTTTTCCAATTTGGAAAAATAATTTATGTGACGAAGATATGAAAAATAACATATAAATTTCTTTCCAGCATAACAAAATAGATAAATACATATATGGACAATAAATATTTTTTTATGACTGTCATCTGAAGTTCGTCATAATAATAAAACAAATGTTTCAAATATTAATAATCTAAAAATGTTTTTAAATACTAATTATAAGTAATAAACGTTTTATCGCATTATTTTGTGTTTGAAATTAGTGATTAATAAATTTAAAAAGATAATTGAAATATTAAAAAACACACAAGACAACATAATTTTATTTTGATTTAGTGTGTGTTTAATTTTATTAAATATATTCTAAATAACTGTAAAGAAAAGTTCTAAAAAACTATAAGTCTTATTTACGCTCCCTAAAACTATAGGTAAGGTATATAATTACCATCCGTGGGTTTTCAATATAGAATAGCTCTATTGATTCTGTAAACAGTTCTATTTCCTTTGGGATAATTAAAATTGCTGCTCTCAGTAAATTTCTAATGAAATTTATCTCGGTGCTCTAAAAATAACCAGTGACTGAAACGTGACATGGTTAATACGTTTTTGTAAACAGATAAGGTCAAACGATTATCTAACCGAAATCGTTTAGTCATTCATTTTAGGATGACATTGTGAAGAAAAGAAACTTTCTTGTTAATATCTTTTTCTCATATTCTAAGTCGAACCTCAAACTACCGCTTTAGTGAATAATGTTTTTTCATAAAACATGAAATAGAGAGTTTTATCAGTAGATTGAAGGTTTCGTGGTCGTCTTTGTAATGGATAGATATATTTACCTTATAAAAAATACGTATCATCAAAAAATAGGGAATATGTCCTTATATGGCGCCGTTTATAAAAGACTGAACCAAATGGAATTGTAATATATAACTCGTATAACATTTATTTTTCTAAAACTTTTTAATTGCTGCAAAAGTTACATTGCCCCAAAATTCAAACCGGAATCGTGACGTTTTCGATCTTTTACTGTTTTTATCTGTTTTTAATAATGTTGCTTCCGTTTAAAACCTAAATCCAGTTTGTTAAATAGTCAACAATATTTTAAAGAGTTTGATGACTGCTTTTGTGGTTACATCTCTGTACTTGATTTTATGCATATTATTTATTTTCCAAACATAGTAAAATATTATGATGATTAAGATTTTTGCATGTACACATTTATTAAATTAGTCTTATCGTATAATACGCTATTTTATTATTTTGATATCTACAGGTTTCCAACATTTTCTATACATCATAGATACCCTAATTAAAATTTCTGTTAGTTTTGATATACATGTCATCTACCGCCAACGATTTCTTAATTTTCTAGTGTACTGCTCTGGGTGTCCGTAAAATAAGCCAACTGTATCTTAAAGTTTTTGTCCATGGTATATTATATTTTTGATGAGAGTTTTCTGGTGTAATATAAATGCCAGCCATATTGTCTATTGAACTTTTGAATAATTTTTAATTTCAATAGTCTTACGGATTAATCTCGCTATGTAGCCATCTTCACAAATGAGAATCTTGTATTGGTTTGTCTATTGTGTGTTCACAGACTGGTAACTTCAACGTACTTATTTTAAATACCTGTCATATTTTATTTTATCGTTGTACCGAGGTTCCCTTTGTTTATCCAACGTATTGTAAACCTCAATTAACTTTGCATACACTCGCTTGTTGTAAATAAATGGTACTCATAATCGGTCTCAAAAACTTTATTATTTTATTGTACTTATTGTCTTGGTATTCTTCAAGATGTTGCTTATTGTGACAGTAACTCCCTTCCAACGTTCTAATA